CATGTCACCTTCATGTGCGAGGAAACCCCAAAATTATGCAGGTCTTAACGTCTTAGACGTTTACCATATTGGTGAAACCCAGAAACTTAAGCAGGCTCGAACCCACGATCATAGGTTTCTGGGACGCCTAAGGAACGCAACTCTGCACAGCGAATTTCTGCGCCTTGGACGACTGGGCCACTCGTGTCCCTGATCTGAAAGTATTCAAGTCTCACACAGAGCACCACACTTTAAAAACTTGTCGATCTGATGCGCACATAAAATATTCCCGAGGAACCGCATCCCCGAGCTTCTCTAATTTAGTTGCAGCAACACATGACAAAATAATATTATTATTAGGATTTCTTATTATTTCACGCTGCAGTCAGCAATGTTCGGCCTAGATCACGACTTCGTGTAAATAATCGAGGCTTGTAAGACCAAAGACAGTGGCTGATATTATGAGCAACAGGGTACGTGGACATACAATCAAGACAACCAAGTCGCCGAACCTATTCACTCGATTAAGCACGGTCGCCAAGATTGTAAAAATATTGTAAAAAGATAGAGAAATGAGTTGTTTTTACCGGGCCAATCATCCTCTTGTAAAAGAATGTATGTATATTATGGATATAATTTTATTGGCAAATCAACGCTATCCAGCTGCACGGTGCCTCTGTGGTCAATTGGATAGAGCATCTGGACGAGGAGTGGTAGGTCGATGGTTCATCCCCGGCCACGACATACCAAAAGACGTTAAGAGATGGTACTTGTTGTTACCCGGTCTGGCAATCGGCATTAAGGGGCTAAAACAAGGACTGGTCGGCTCGGAGTCAGTGTACTATGTCCGAATAGGGTATTCGTATTTAACTGTATCTCAATGGGCTAGCACAATAAAACCGACATAAGTCGGGACGAGTACAGGCAGCCACACACGTGCATGCACGTCACTGTATAAGTAAAATAATCTTGAAAGCTACGTTCAATCTCAACTCACCTCACCTCACGAGCATTGACTCAAATTACGAAGGTAGTCTTTTATGACAAAACTTGATATTATTCACATTTAACATGTTTTCCTGTCTGAGAGCAATCTGACATTAGGCAGGCTAAGCTTTTGTTAAGCTGTAAACAGCCTCTTGGGAAACACCTGACATGACATTAAAGCCCTGATCTGACTGAATAGTCCCAGGTAAACCAACCATAGTGAAGGACTTTACCAAAGCCTTGATAATATACGGAGCCGTAATTTTCCGTAAAGGAATATTCTCTGGAAACCTTGTGGAAGCACCATGATAGTAATCATGTACTGATGACCCTGCTGAAAGGCCCTTCAAAGGCTGGAATTGGTTTCAAAGGTGCAGCTGGGATTTTGCGTTTAGGTTTGCCAACCATTTGACACACATGGCAGGTTTTGCAGAATTCAGCCACTTCATGCTACAAATTAGGCCAGAAGATATGGGATAGAAGTTTGTCACAAGTTTTGCTCACACCCAATTGACCTACCAAAGGAGTTTCATGTGTTAAACCCAAACATGATTTCGACATAAACTTGGAAGAACTATTTCCTCATCAAAATGCTATCTTTGAAATCATAGCAAACTGGAACCGTGTCAGCTTCTTTTAAAGAGAGTACCCTATTGGCAAGAAATTTTGAGTTCTTGGTCTTCCCCCTGTAACGTAACCAACAGTTCCCTACCATGAACTGGTTCCTCAACAGCCAAATTGTCATAAGTTTTAGAGTACCCTCCCTTGAAAATTTAGACAGGTCAAGAGAATGACCAACAAAAGTGCCAGCCAAATCGTAATTGGAATCATTCTCAGAAGATGCTTGCTTGGCCATAGTACGCAGGTATTTCAGTACTTTCCGAAGTGCTGGGCTCATGACAAACAACAGCATCAGGCAAAATCTTCCTCTGCCAAATCATTCCCAATAAGTAAGTCTGCACCTCTAACATGTGCCTTAACCTTAACCCAGACCCCAAATCTGTCCTCCAACAGGTGCCTAACAAACACAGACACCAAATCTGTCTTCAAATTTACAAAATGGAGAGGCGCTCTAGTAAAACCACATAAACCATCTCACAAAACCTCAGAGTTCGCTGATGACACCTCAGAAAGTGGCAAAATACCACCCAAAAGCCTTTGAAAGAGCACCAGTATCCCTCAAAATGGTGATGGGTTTAACATTGGAACTGTCACCTTTAGCTGACACACAAAACCTTTACTAAGATAGGATGAGTACTCCTCTCTCACGCTAACAGACCATGATGACTGGTCTACAAAACACCTCTTCATTAGCAGAACCACAGGCTGTGACCTGACGTTCATAAAATCATTAGGGGGAGAGCACACAGAAATGATATGCCCTGGGTAATAGCAATATCTACATGTAGGCGCCGACATCAATCCAGAAGTGTCTTTTCAAGCAACTGGACTAGAACTTGACTTTTTGTCAATAAACTCAGAATCAGACTTACAAATAATAGAACTATATCTAGGAAGTGATGAACTATCCTTTCCAGATTTTTAACCCTGCGAATTCCTGCCTTAAAACCCTGACTGCCTGAAACTAACCCTTTGAGTTAACAAATAAGCCAAGTAGCGGCCTTGAGTATCTGATCCACTTTCTGCTCATCAAGATATGTCCGAATGTCCCCTGAAACACACTGCTTAAAATCCTTCAGTAAAACCGTCTCAAACTATCACATTCACCACTGTCTTCCTTAGAAGTACACCGCCTTTCACGCAAAATTTATTTCTCCCAAGCAAACTCAACAAAAGTAGAACCATCCATTTTCTGAGCAGAACTAACCTTTTGCCTATAAGCCTCTATAGCCTCTATCACCAGGAACAAATTCATAAGCCTTGAAAACTTCACCTTTAAAACCTGACAATTAGAACTCCTATCAGTAGATAAGGCACAATAAACTTCCTGATAATTAGAACTCCTATCAGCAGGTTAAGGCACAATGAACTTCCTGATAATGCGAACTTCTATCAGTAGGTAAGGCACAATGAACTTCCTGCTAATCAGAACTCCTATCAGTAGGTAAGGCACAATGAACTGCCTGATAATCAGAACTCCTTTCAGTAGGTAAGGCACAATGAACTTCCTGATAATGCGAACTTCTATCAGTAGGTAAGGCACAATGAACTTCCTGCTAATCAGAACTCCTATCAGTAGGTAAGGCACAATGAACTGCCTGATAATCAGAACTCCTTTCAGTAGGTAAGGCACAATAAACTTCCTGATACTCAGAACTCCTTTTAGTAGGTAAGGCACAATAAACTTCCTGATAATCAGAACTCCTTTCAGTAGGTAAGGCACAATAAACTTCCTGATAATCAGAACTCCTATCAGTAGGTCTCTTTCACTAAAGTCAGATTTATCAATTATACCTGCTCGGATGCCCCATCTGCTCGGATTAAGTCTCAAAGTAGTAGTATAGGGAATGGGGGTTCTGCCTCACTGCCACCTAGACCAGATTCGTACCCCAATAATGTGCTACCACAGAGGTAATTTTTTATGCAAATTATGTGATGCGATCCAATGATCGGCATGCGAGATGCATATCGAGGAAACACTATATTATTAATCTCCAAACAGTTCAACAGTTCAGTGTTGTCAGAACTCACCAAATACAACGCACTGAACCAGGAGATTCGATCAAATTCAAGTGGCATTAGTGAAGACAAAAAAAACTTCATAGAGCAGGGGAGACAGCAAGCTCGCCAAGTATTCCGCACAAAACCAAAGAACTGGTCATTGGACCGCATTGCATAACTTGCATACAAAATGACCTCTGTAGTGGCATTATTGGGGCGTGAATCTGGTCTAGGTGGCAGTGAGACAGAACCCCCATTCCCTACACTTCACCCAATGACAGCTTCCTTCGCAGGCATAATGATGCTTATTGATGCAGTAAGTCTTGGCCATAAACAGCTGCAGTTGACGGCAGGAGAACCGCTGTCGGGGCACGATGAAACAAAATCAGCCAAGTGACTCATTGTAATCACTTGATAATCTGATGGCAGGAGAACCGCTGTCGGAGCGCGATGAAACAAAATCAGCCAAGTGACACATTGTAATTATCTGATAATCTGATGGCAGGAGAACCGCTGTCGGAGCGCGATGAAACAAAATCAGCCAAGTGACACATTGTAATCACCTGTAATCTGATGGCAGGAGAACCGCTGTCGGAGCGCGATGAAACAAAATCAGCCAAGTGACACATTGTAATCACTTGATAATCTGTCTGCTGGAGAACCGCTGTCGGAGCGCGATGAAACAAAATCAGCCAAGTGACCCATTGTAATCACTTGATAATCTGATGGCAGGAGAACCGCTGTCGGAGCGCGATGAAACAAAATCAGCCAAGTGACCCATTGTAATCACTTGATAATCTGATGGCAGGAGAACCGCTGTCGGAGCGCGATGAAACAAAGTCAGCCAAGTGACACATTGTAATCACTTGATAATCTGATGGCAGGAGAACTGCTGTCGGAGCGCGATGAAACAAAATCAGCCAAGTGACACATTGTAATCACCTGTAATCTGATGGCAGGAGAACCGCTGTCGGAGCGCGATGAAACAAAGTCAGCCAAGTGACTCATTGTAATCACTTGATAATCTGATGGCAGGAGAACCGCTGTCGGAGCGCGATGAAACAAAGTCAGCCAAGTGACACATTGTAATCACTTGATAATCTGACGGCAGGAGAACCGCTGTCGGAGCGCGATGAAACATCAGCCAAGTGACACATTGTAATCATTTGATAATATGACGGCAGGAGAACCGCTGTCGGAGCGCGATGAAACAAAAAGGTAATGTAGATTTTGTTCACTGAACTCTCAATTCATCGTTTTAAAGTTTCTTCACAATAAATGAAATTGCTTTTCAATTTTTCTGTTTATTTGGTTTTTTTACGGTTTTATAAGCGCGTATCTTCCAAGATGTGAAACAGAGTACTCTGTGACATCCGATGATGCAGCTGCTCAAAACTCGTTGAATGTGAAGTCAGCCTTGCATGAACTATTTTACACACTTAAGGAAAACATGGTATCTGCAAAAAGTATGTCAGTGTCAGCTATGAAGACACAAGGACTCGACAACCAATGAGTGTTTCAGAGAAAAAACAAAAGTGGCCCCGTTAAAGTGTTTTAGTACAAGTACTTGCGCGTGTCTTTAGGAAATTATTCTGAGAGGAGATTTCAACCGAAAGACTTCTAAGTAAAGGTTAAGAGGATTTCCCATAATGTCTGACAATGTGAAACTGGTGTTCCTCGTTATGGTCATGTCAAACAATGCAAATACTACGGGAAGTAGCTTGTGTGTAGATGAGATGTTTGACCTGATATTCAGAGACAAGTCCGCCACAGATTACGTTGTAAGTGGGAAGACGGTGCCAAGTCGGGCGGAGTGTTCTGTCCTGTGTCATCAAGAGGAAGGGTGTGTGTCTATGGCGTATTCAGGCTCAGGAGAGTGTGTCCTCCACGGCGAGTTGCCACAGACTCTGACAGTGGTCAGTAAACAGGACACTGACATCTACTACCGCCAAGGTAAGATATACATGTCACTGACATCTACTACCACCAAGGTAAGATATATCTCACACTGACATCTACTACCACCAAGGTAAGATATACCTGACACTGACATCTCCTACCACCAAGGTAAGATATACCTGACACTGACATCTACTACCACCAAGGGAAGATATACCTGACACTGACATCTACTCCCGCCAAGGTAAGATATACCTCACACTGACATCTACTACCGCCAAGATAGGATATACCTGACACTGACATCTACTACCGCCAAGGTAAGATATACCTGACACTGACATCTACTCCCGCCAAAGTAAGATATACCTCACACTGACATCTACTACCACCAAGGTAAGATATACCTGACACTGACATCTACTACCGCCAAGATAAGATATACCTGACACTGACATCTACTACCACCAAGGTAAGATATACCTCACACTGACATCTACTACCGCCAAGATAAGATATACCTGACACTGACATCTACTACCACCAAGGTAAGATATACCTCACATTGACATCTACTACCGTCAAGATAAGATATACCTCACACTGACATCTACTACCACCAAGATAAGATATACCTGACACTGACATCTACTACCGCCAAGGTAAGATATACCTGACACTGACATCTACTACCGCCAAGGTAAGATATACCTCACACTGACATCTATTACCACCAAGGTAAGATATACCTCACACTGACATCTACTACCACCAAGGTAAGATATATCCCACACTGACATCTACTACCACCAAGGTAAGATATACCTGACACTGAAATCTACTACCACCAAGGTAAGATATACCTGACACTGACATCTAATACCACCGAGGTAAGATATACCTCACACTGACATCTACTACCACCAAGGTAAGATATATCTCACACTGGCATCTACTACCACCAAGGTAAGATATACCTGACACTGACATCTACTACCACCAAGGTAAGATATACCTGACACTGAAATCTACTACCACCAAGGTAAGATATACCTGACACTGACATCTACTACCACCAAGGTAAGATATACCTCACACTGACATCTACTACCGCCAAGATAAGATATACCTGACACTGACATCTAATCCCGCCAAGGTAAGATATACCTCACACTGACATCTACTACCGCCAAGATAAGATATACCTGACACTGACATCTACTACCGCCAAGGTAAGATATACCTGACACTGACATCTACTCCCGCCAAGGTAAGATATACCTCACACTGACATCTACCACCACCAAGGTAAGATATACCTCACACTGACATCTACTACCGCCAAGATAAGATATACCTGACACTGACATCTACTACCGCCAAGATAAGATATACCTGACACTGACATCTACTACCGCCAAGATAAGATATACCTGACACTGACATCTACTACCGCCAAGGTAAGATATACCTGACACTGACATCTACTACCACCAAGGTAAGATATACCTCACACTGACATCTACTACCGCCAAGATAAGATATACCTGACACTGACATCTACTACCGCCAAGGTAAGATATACCTGACACTGACATCTACTACCGCCAAGATAAGATATACCTGACACTGACATCTACTACCGCCAAGGTAAGATATACCTGACACTGACATCTACTACCGCCAAGATAAGATATACCTGACACTGACATCTACTACCGTCAAGATAAGATATACCTGACACTGACATCTACTACCACCAAGGTAAGATATACCTGACACTGACATCTACTACCACCAAGATAAGATATACCTCACACTGACATCTACTACCGCCAAGATAAGATATACCTGACACTGACATCTACTACCGCCAAGGTAAGATATACCTGACACTGACATCTACTACCGCCAAAGTAAGATATACCTGACACTGACATCTATTACCACCAAGGTAAGATATACCTGACACTGACATCTACTACCGCCAAGATAAGATATACCTGACACTGACATCTACTACCACCAAGGTAAGATATACCTCACACTGACATCTACTACCACCAAGGTAAGATATATCTCACACTGGCATTTACTACCACCAAGGTAAGATATATCCCACACTGACATCTACTACCACCAAGGTAAGATATACCTGACACTGACATCTACTACCACCAAGGAAAGATATACCTGACACTGACATCTACTACCACCAAGGTAAGATATACCTCACACTGACATCTACTACCGCCAAGATAAGATATACCTGATACTGACATCTACTACCACCAAGGTAAGATATATCCCACACTGACATCTACTACCACCAAGGTAAGATATACCTCACACTGATATCTACCACCACAAAGGTAAGATATACACTACTGCCTAGAAGTTCATTCCCCTAACACGCGTTGAGAACGCGTGTAACACGCATGTTACACGGGTGCTCAACGGGTTGCACACCCTTTGGTGACTAGCCGACAGTAGAACAGTAGTGAATTTAGATGCGAGTTTATTGCTAGGGGAACACCGAGTTGACACGATTGTCGCGGGATGGTAAATGTTCGCCATTAATGAAGTCATTGTTTGTGGATTGCGGACATATTCGTTTTAAGTTTTGCCAACATGAGTCATTCCAGGTGATTGCAAATATTACGCTTTTCGTACGCCAAATTTATGCTTTAGATAGTACAATTATGATAGTGATGTCACCACTACTAATGTCTTATTTTTTCACATAGGGATAAGTCCCATTTCCCCACTCCTCACTTTCCGTTTTGTATTTTGTAAGAATTGATAAGAGATAGTTGTGCGTGGGATTCTAATATGTATCACTAATTCTAAGAGAAGATTGGTAATGAATATGAACAGCCATGTTGTCTGACTTTGATAGAATTTGAGATCTTCACAATCACCGGGTGTGACCATGTACACAGAATCTCGTTAGGGTTTGTGATGTTACATTTGCCCAATGACCATAATGAGTATTGCAAGGGATATCAAAGGTAACAGTTTATTATTAGGGGAGATTGGTTTTGGGTAATCCTTTCACGTTGATGGAAGGAAGCCACTCAACCAGGTGGTGACAATGGTTATGCGCAAGACTCGGAATCGTGAAAAGATCACTAGAGATATTGATGGTGGCTGGACATGCAGCATACATCATGTCCAGTGTATGCAGGGACCTCGTCTTTGTTTCACTCGGTATTAGAAACTTTGATATACAAGGCTGCGGCCACCACGCCATTCACAGGTGCATATGTCTATTTACAATGAAGTTGCTTGGCGTTCCCAGTATTTATATACCATCTCACTGATTACTTGTTAACTGGTCACTGCAAGTGCTTGAATTATTTAATTTTAAGTGAACTGAGTTTATTCACATGTTAGCTTTCATAGACTTAAGCTTAGTTAGAATCCTTGTTTATCTGTGAACTGGTCTTCCAACTGGTGACGGGCAGTCGGGTAGCCTAGTGGTTAAAGCGTTCGCTCGTCACGCCGAAGACCCGGGTTCGATTCCCGACATGGGTACAATGTGTGAAGCCCATTTCTGGTGTCCCCCGCCGTGATATTGCTGGAATATTGCTAAAAGCGGCGTAAAACCATACTCACTCACTCACTCCAACTGGTGACATTTTAGTGATGGATGAAGTTTAGTACTTTTGGACTACATGTAACATGGCTGCTTTTACATTTCTTATACAGATGCTTGACTGCCTCAGTAGTTCATGATCAATTACATTTCTTATTGTGTAAACAAATCAGTCACGTTTGCAACAATAGATTAATGAGTTGATAAATTTGGACTGCAATTACCCATTAACAAATTAAGAGATAGAGACAGGGAGTTGATATATAACCAAAGTTATGGTCCTGTTGAGACGCTTGACGTTGGAGTAAATGACAGCACCTAATTTGAGCATTACCCAGTAATATTATACAATACGTCATTACCCATAACCGTGCGAGAGACAATTCCCAGCTATACATTGTAGGGTCAATCGCTAATGGCATATTTAAGAATAAACTCACTTTAAGGCACTTGGCAAGTCAAAACTGGCCGCCCTGATAATGTTTTAGGGTTTGACAACAATTATGCTCGTGGATTTCAGAAATAGATATTATTTGTTACCTAGATGTTATTACAATAGGCGAATATGTCCACAGTTTGTTTAATAGTACAAAAAAGGGTGTTAAAAAGCTATCAACGTTTTCTTTTATTGAACACAATATTTGCACTGTATTGATGTAAATAATCTAGCCTGCTGCCCATGTAACTTAAACATAAGTAAGGATAAGATTGATTAAACAATTAAGAGCGACATTTCGGTGTAGGTTCTAACACCGTTATCAAGCAAGTTTACCAACACCGAAACGTCGCTCTTAATTGTTTAAAGAAGTTGTTCATGCATAAATCTTATCCTTACTTAGTACTGCAACTTCTACATGCCTATCAAAGAAGTAACTTAAACATGTATATCTATGATCTACATGTGACACTCTCTGTGGCCTGAAAAGCAAATAAAGCTGTGTCTTATGACCTCTATTATCTCTGCTGACGCTATCGTAACGTACAGGCTATGTCCAGAACGCATATGTTGTGTATAAGATGATGTCTATGAAGTAAGACGAGTTCTATGGATGAACAACTTCTTTATTACAATTAGTGCGACGTTTCGGTGTAGATCCTAACACCTTTATCAAGCAAGTGATCACTTACTTGATAAAGGTGTTAGGATCTACACCGAAACGTCGCACTAATTGTAATAAAGAAGTTGTTCATCCATAAAACTCGTCTTACTTCATCACTCCAACTCCACTCAAAGAAGATGATATGTATGCCCTGAAATGTTAGAACGTTAGATCGCGAGGGCGAAACATTAAAGTAGATACACGAGAGTTGGGACACTGGCTGTGTAACACCAAGACATGCGGTTGTGAAATCGGTCTCTGACACAAAATTTTGCTTTCATATAAAGTATTGTGAGAACTGGGGAGCCAATATGCAAGTATTACATGCATTCACACACGGAAGCATATTATAGTTG